TTACGAACGGATTCGGCCAATTCTTTGATTTGATTGTAATCTACGGGAGTATGTACTCTTCCGCCTTCCACATTCTCGAATACTGGAAAAGCCATTTGTATTTTTCTCCGTTCCTCTAAAGGTAAAAAGGAGTCAGTACCAGTATTCAGCCGAAGCTCATACTGCGGAGGCGCCGAGGGGCGTGAGCCCGCCGGATTTATAGGTGGTGGCCTCACATTCATTTTTGTTTTCAGCGGCCGGTGTCTATCAGGGTGATATCTTTCTTCCTCATACCGTGCCACCTCCTCCTCTAGACCACCTTCTTCGCTAGAATCCAGAGTGTCAGAATCGGAATTATCTAGCTCCAAGGCTTCTAGCTCTACCGTAGGGTATAGCCTAGATTCTGGCTTTTTCTTTTTCTTAGATTTGTTAGGGGGTGAATGATCACTCCCTTCTTTCTCTCCCCTTTCTTAACTTCTTGGGGAGGGCCTTTTTTCTTAGACATGTCTTTCCTTTTGCGAGCTCCCATTCTCTCACTCCGTTCAGTTTCTGACATGCTATCCTGAACTTCCTCTAAGGTTCCCTGACTTTCTACTATAGCAGGGTGACAGGCCTCATCCTCCAAGCAGTTTTTAACTAGCTTCCAAATGGCTTTGGTACCTAAGTGGAGATCTCCTTCTGCATGCTTCCTGTCTAGTTCTTTACCTAGCTTGTTCCATGAGGCCACAGTGAGGGACCCGGAACAAGCATACCATGGTGCCACTCTATCTACCTCCTTCACAAAATTTTGAAGTGTTCGTGGTGCAATTTTGAGATCTCTTTGTTTTAGCACAGTCTGTAGGGCAGTAACCACTGACTGTGACAACCCCATCGCGCTAGCGGCTTATCTAAAAAACGGCGCTCGACTTACCAGACTGACAGCACCGTTCTGTCAGTACCAGCCACGATGAAGAAGGACAAACAGGACTAGCACCAAAGCCTCCACTGACCCGTCCCACGGTGATGACAAACTAAGGCCAAAGTCGAGAAAAGGGGTGTTCAGGATAAAGCATACCTCTCTGAACTTACGTCCCTGCAGTTCTGAATCCGCCCCGTCTTCCGAGGGGTCTCCCGCGGCGCCGGCGATGTTGAAGAGTTCCCGGGTTTCGGCACCAGATGTCCCGCGCTACCGTCTCGCCAGCAAGAACGACGCAGGACACTCGGATCCTTCTGCAGTAAAGCTTTAATACATCTTGAGAGATAGATGATCAGCTTCTGAGAGGGAGACCCCAAGCTAAGAAACCCAGCCCCTTATATAAGCCTAGGAGCTCCGAGTGAGACGTGTAGAGCCGGGATTGGTGGTTTGCTCATCACCCCAGATGACGGGTGAGGCACAGCTTAAACGGTAAACTCCAACTGACAGCAGATGTCAGCGCCATCTTCTAATGGCGATAGCGATAGTGAGGGCGGCTCCTCACAGTTAGTGAATATTTTTTCCCAATCTGTGGGTTGCCTTTATGTCTTGCTGACTGTGTCCTTTGCCTTACAGAAGCTTCTCAGTTTCAGAAGGTCCCATATATTAGTTGTGGATCTCACTGTCTGTGCTACTGGTGTATGTTCAGGAAGCTGTCTCCTGCAACAATTCATTCAAGAGTACCACCCACTTTCTCTTCTAAGAGGTTCAGAGTGGCTGGATTTATGTTGAGGTCTTTGATCCATTTGGACTTAAGTTTTGTGCATGGCAATAAACATGGATTGATCTGCAGTTTTCTACTTGCCAATATCCAGTTATGCCAGCACCATTTGTTGAAGATGCTTTCTTTATTCCATTGTATATTTTTAGCTTCTTTGTCAAAGATCAGATGTTCATATGCGTGTGGGTTAATATCAGGGTTTTCAATTTGATTCCATTGGTTTACCTGTCTATTTTTGTGCCACTACCAAGCTGTTTTCAGGACTATAGCTCTATAATAGAGCTTGAAGTCAGGGATGGTGATGCCTCCGGACGTTGCCTAGTTGAACAGGGTTGTTTTGGCTATCCTGGGTCTTTTGTTTTTCCATACAAAATTGATTATTGTTCTTTCAATGTCTGTGAAGAATTGTGCTGGAATTTTAATGGGGATTGCATTGAATCTGTAGATTGCTTTTGGCAGGATTGCCATTTTTACTACAATGATCCTACCTATCCAAGAGCATGGGAGATCTTTCCATTTTCTGATGGCTTCTTTAAATTCTTTCTTTAAAGATTCAAAGTTCTTGTAATACAGGTCTTTCACTTGTTTGGTTAGCATTACCCCAAGGTATTTTATGTTGTTTGTGGCAATTGTAAAGGGTGATGTTTCTCTGATTTCTTTCTCAGCCCTTTTATCATCTGTATATAGTAGGGCTACTGATTTTCTTGAGTTGATCTTGTAGCCTGCCACTTTGCTGAAGGTGTTAATCAGCTGTAAGAGTTCCCTGGTAGAGTTCTTTGGGTCATTGATGTAAACTATCATATCATCTGCAAACAGTGAAAGTTTGACCTCTTCCTTCCCAATTTGTATCCCCTTGATCCCCCTTTGTTGTCGAATGGCAATGGCTAGAATTTCAAGTACCATGTTGAAAAGGTATGGGGAGAGTGGACAGCCTTGTTTTGTTCCTGATTTTAGAGGAATTGCATTGAGTTTCTGTCCAATTAGTTTGATGTTGGCTGTTGATTTACTGTATATAGCTTTTATTATGTTTAAGTATGTTCCTGTTATCCCAGATCTCTCCAAGACCTTTATCAAGAAGGGGTGTTGGATTTTGTCAAAGGCTTTTTCAGCATCCAGTGAGATGATCATGTGATTTTTGTTTTTCAGCTTGTTTACATGGTGGATTACGTTGATGGATTTTCGTATGTTGAACCATCCCTGCATCCCTGGGATGAAACCTACTTGATCGTGGTGAATGATTGTTTTGATGTGTTCTTGGGTCCGATTTGCCAGTATTTCATTGAATATTTTTGCATCAATGTTCATGAGGGATATTGGTCTGAAGTTCTGTTTTTTAGTTGTGTCTTTGTGTGGCTTGGGGATCAAGGTTATTGAAGCCTGGTAGAAAGAGTTTGGCAAAGACCCTTCTGCTTCTATTGCATGGAATACTTTGAGAAGAATTGGTATAAGCTGTTCTTTGAATTTCTGGTAGAATTCTGCACTGAGGCCATCTGGACCTGGGCTTTTTATGGTTTGGAGACTTTTGATGGCTGCTTCTATTTCCATAGGGGTTATAGGACTATTTAAATTGCTTATCTGTTCTTGATTTAATTTTGGTAAGTGCTATATATCCAGGAAGTTGTCCATTTCCTTTAAATTTTCAAATTTTGTGGAGTATAGGCTTTCAAAGTATGACCTGATGATTCTCTGAATTTCCTCAGAGTCCGTTGTTATGCCCCCCTTTTCATTTCTGATTTTGTTAATTTGCATGTTCACACTCTGCTGTTTGGTAAGTTTGGACAAAGGTTTGTCTATCTTGTTGATTTTCTCAAAGAACAAACTGTTCGTTGCATTGGTTCTTTGTATTGTTTTCCTAGTTTCTACTTTATTGATTTCAGCCCACAATTTGATTATTTCCTGGTGTCTACCCCTCCTGGGGGAGTTCGCTTCTTTGTGTTCTTAGAGCTTTCAGCTGTGCTGTTAATTCTCTAGTGTAACTATCCTCTAGTTTTTCATGTGTGCTGGAATTAAAGGCATGCGCCACCACCACCTGGCCCCATTTCCTACTTTTTTTGGTTTGTTTTTATTTCCATTTCTTGCATTTTTTGCTTTGTTTCTAACTTCCATTTCTTGCATTTTTTTTTGGTTTGTTTTTTCTTCCATGTCTTGCTTTTTTTTTTTTTGGTTTGTTTTTTCATCCATTTCTTTGAGGGATTTTCCTATATCCTCTTTTAGGGCCTCTATCATTTTCATGAAGGTGGTTTTAAGGTCATTCTCTTCTGCTTCATTTGCATTGGAATGTTGGAGTCTTGCTGGTGTGGAGTCTCTAGAATCTGGTGGTGTCACATTTGTTTTTCTGTTGCTGAGTGTGTTTTTGTATTGTCTTTTTCTCATCTCTTCTTCTAGTGAATGCAAAAAGAGCCCCGGTGCTAGCAAGTCCAATAATTTGGTAGTTCTTCTATTCCTTGTCCTCGTTCTGGTCCCATGGGTGGAGAAGAAGACCAGGAATCTGGGGTGCTTAGCCTCCCACCTGGTCCCCTGGTCTCCCTGGATCCACTGGTTTCCTGGTCTCCTTGGTGGGAGAGAAGACCTGGAGTCTGGTGTGTTTGGCTCCCGCCGGGATTGGAAGCTCTGTGCAGATCCCTGGCGATCCCCAGGCACTGGAACACAGGCCCAGATTCAGGGCCTGTTGTACCTGGTCCTGCCAGAACAGCTGGTCCCCTGGTCTCCCTGAATGGCTGGATCTGCTGGTTTCCTGGACTCGTTGGTGGGAGAGAAGACCTGGAATCTGGGGTACTTGGCTCCTGCTGGGATTGGAAGCTCCCTGTGCAGTTCGCAGGTGATCCCTAGGCACTGGAACACAGGCCTGAATTTAGGGCCTGTTTTACCTGGTCCTGCCAGAGCAGCTAGTCCCCTGGTCTCCCTGGATCCGCTGGTTTCCTGGTCCCCTTGGTTGTGTCTTTGCATGGTATGGGATTCATGGTAACTGTGGCATCATAAAATGAATTGGGAAAGCTTTCCTTTCCATTTCGTGCAGTTAGGGTTGAGCAACATATGAGTTACTTAATGCCACAAATGTGCTACCTGATAAGCAACCACAGGAAGTCTATGGCAATGACCCTTTATTTGCCTGCAATCAACATTGGCTCATGTCTAATGATGTTGATTAAGCTTGCTTAAAGAGCTGAAGGAAAGCTGACTCCTGGATCCTTGACCTGGCCTCAACCGAGAGAGGAAAGGCTTGACTGACATGGATCGGTTGTGTTCTAGTCTCATCCTCCACCAGGCTAGGCCTTCCATACTCCCATAGAATGAAAAGTGGAAAAACTCAGGATCTTTTGAGAACCAAACTCAGAAATGACAAACTGATATTTATGTATCTTTTTATTGACCAGAGAAAACTATCTCATGTGAATAAACAGAGCCATGAACTCTTCATGGAAAGAACTTGAGATCTACTAAAACATGAGAGAGAGTTGGGATGAAGATTTAGTCATGAAGAGAATTGTCTTCCACAAGTAGAACAGGAAATACAGACAACGACCCAAGCTCCTTACAATCTCTGCCATTGTATTTCCTAGTCTGTTACATAATTGCAGTGTTAAATCTCTTCCCTCTTTATGTCCTGACTTAAACATGAAGATCTTGTAATGAAAAAGGAGATTAAAGAGCTCAAGCCTTACATGTCATGTGTTTAAGTAATGAATTTATTTGCTGCTTGACACATAGTGATTTCCCACGGTTAAAGTGGACATTAGTCTTGAGATTAGCACCCTTCCTGCTCTTTATTGTGGGCAGAGATTTGCTAAGTGTGCGGCAACCCTCACTCTGAGTAGTAGTTATGGAATGTGAGCAGGTGGGCTTACTACTCCAGGATTGATTCATAAATAATCCCATATGCAATCTTCTGCTCTCCATAGTCACCACTGAATATAAACTACCCTGAGAACAGAGCTGTGGAATAAACCAGTAGCTTAGATCAGCACTCCTATATCCTCTCTCCTGACCTGATCAATACATTAGAGTGTACAATGGACAAGACTAAAACTTTTAAAGAACCACCCGAGGCTACCATCCGGGTATCCTTTAGCATCATACATTCATTTTCTTTCTAGACTTTTACTAAAACATTAAAAGTAATAGCACAAATCACTTGCCACCTTTTCCAGGAAATAATTCTTTTAACTAAAAATATGCTTTTTATCATAGGACTACTATCTGTGTCAAGTGACGTCAAGGTCTTTGTTTCCAGTTTTTAGGATTCACCTGTGTCTTATTGTTACCCTCACTGATCCATCCCAATCCCTGTAAGTTAAAATGCAGACAGTTAAGGTAATTGAGACAATGGGGCTCTAAACAAAAAGCTGTTCAGCTACCTGGTAGCAAGGAAGTAAGGAAAGAAGGCCAGATAGGGCTGACTTGAAGGTGTTGATTTCTTTATATTATACCTGACAGTGCAATATTTATGATCACATAAAATGTTCTAGGAACAGGAAGTTGATGGAAACCATTCATGGAGGACGTGACTGAAGGAAATCCAGCCAGCACTGTTGTTCACCTTTTCCTAAGCCATCTTCTTCTTCTTTGTCATGAAAAGTGGGGAATGGAGAAAGTAGATGTCCATTCATACACGTATGTGGTAAACACCAAGCTTTTGACTGTACATTCATACTGCATGACTGCCAGCTGGCACATAGCTTCTAACAAACAGGAACAGGTATGCTGGATGTCAACGAGAGAGGAGATTGCAAATGGCTGTTTTCTTGTATTGTGTCATCAGACTAATGGGTTTCAGGAATCCAGATTTTCATTTTCTAGAAATAAACAGCATAAAATTCAAATAATCAGGAATGAACAGAAACCCACAAAGAGAAACTTGTAAATGAATTCATAAAGTGCCATCTACTTCATTTCATCCAATGAAGCCTGAATGAGATGGCCAGGCTAGGTCCTTCCTTAGTCATAACTGCAGCAAGGCACACACTTTTGTCAGAACTTGGGGCACCATTATCTTAAGAAATCCAGATTCTGAGAATAGCTGAGGGAACAACCATGACAGGACTATCTAACATATTTTCCCAGTCCACTGGGACTCAAACTTATGGCAATGTTTTCTTCCTAATGAGCCTTAGCATTTCAGTTTTCTGTTCCTACCTGAAATAATTTCTCTTCTGGAAGAAAGCAAATCCTATGATGAGCAGAACAATCACCAAAAGGGAAAGTTTCACATAGAGAATGGTCAGCAAGGAATGCAGAGGGCTGGTGACACCTTTAATTACAGGCAAGGATAAAAATTCAGGTCAGTTCAGTAGTAACTCTAATCGGGAAATTAAAAGCAAATAGCTTTAAAATCACTTACAGAATTCCTAAAGTTTGGAGAATGTCAAAAACAGAAAACCTTGTCAATTATAATTCAAATACTTCTCATATATCATTATTTCAGGGTCAAGTTTAGAAATAAAGTCCAGTTTTTGTGCTTGATAGGCATTAACAAATATTTTAAAGTGAATAAATGCACACTAAGTACTGCTAATACTTCCCATTATATAAGGAAAAAGTTCCCATGCAAATATTACTTTACTTTTATGAACATATAATTGCATCATTTGCATCCATTCCTTTCTTCCTCCAAACTCCTCCATTAGCCCCACCTCCCAATATTCTCTCTCAAGTTGCTAACCTCTTCCAAAATGTTATTGTTGTCTATTTATACATAATATGCAAATGCAGCCTGCTGAGTTCATCCCATGTTGCTTGCATGTGCATGATCTCAGGACTGACGACTAGGTATTGGATAGCTAATTAGGGGTCATCTCTGAGGGAAGACTACTTCTCCCCCTCTCAGCAACTCTTAGTTAATTTTAAGTTGTTTTTTTTTTTGTTGTTGTTGTTGTTTGTTTTTGGTTGCTTGTGTTTTTTGAGACAGGGTTTCTCTGTGTAGCTTGTAGACTATGCTGGCCTCAAACTCACAGAGATCCCCCTGTGTCTGCCTTCCGAGTGCTGGGATTAAAGGAGTGAGCCACCACCGCCAGGCCCAACTGTAATTCTTAATCTAGGGGTGTTGTAGTTAGGGTCTTCATTGCTGTGGAGACAACATGACCATGGCAGTTCATAAAGAAAATAATTGGAGTGGCTAGCTTACCGTTTCAGAGGTTCAGTCCATTATCATTATGGTAGGGAGCATGGCAGTTTGCAAGCAGATGTGGTGCTAGAGCTGAGAGTCCTATATCTTGCAAGTAACAGTAAATCAGCTGACTCCCTGGGTGTATCCTGAGCATGGGAAGCCTCAGTGTCCTTCATGACAGTGACACACTTCCTCCAGCAAGCCACACCCACTCCAACATAGCCACACCTCCAATAGTGCCACTCCTTATAAGATTGTGGGGGCCAGTTGCATTCAAATTACCACAAGGGATGAGACTCCATGAGATTTACCCCTATCATGTTTGTATATCTAGTGGTGGTTTACTTGTTTAGGTTTTGTTTAGACAGCAACACTATTGAGGATTTTCATGGGTGAAGCTTTCCTGTCATTTCCAAAAAATTTTAAAATATTTTTTACTGTTATTTTACATACCTATCCCACTTTTCCCTCCCTTCTATCCTCCTATTCCCTACCCGCCAACTCTCTCTACCTTCCCCCATCCACTCTTCCTCTGCTTTTTCTCAGGAAAAGGCAGTCCTCAATTTGTTGTGCCAGACTTTATGGACTCCCCAAGGGAAAAATTATATACTCTGAGAAATGGATGGGAGTGGGGTGGGGGAGGTGGAGGAGGTTGGAGGAAGGGAGGGAGGGGGATCTGGGGTTGATATGTAAAATGAAAAAAAATTAAATAAAAGGATAAGATTCTTTAAAAAGGGATTAATGTCCAGGAAAGCTGAGTGAGGCATGTACAGGAACTTGTTTAGTTTTTCCAGCTTTTTTGTTACATCCAAAATAACTTTGAAAAGATAATCAGAGGTGGGTGGACAAAAAGAAATATATATACATATATAAATAGTTTGTTCTGGTGTCTGTGTAGAAACCAACAATGGAGGGAAGAGGCTGAGAAGAGCAGAGCTTGGGTAAGGTGTTTGACCAGAGAGGAAGCAGAAGCAATGATGAAACTTAGTAAACGTAAAAGTGATCATATCTCTACCTTGGTCACTTCTGGTCCATGAAGTGGAGCTGTGTGTGCCTGTGGGGTGTGCACTCAAGTGAAGCCCAGAGAGCAACAGGTGTCCCCCTCAATCTCTTTGACACTGTAGTTTTCAAGACAAGGTCTCTCACTGAACCTGGAGCTCCTCAACTGGCTACACCACCCAGTGAGTTCAGGGATTTTCCTGTGTCCACCTCTGTAGTGGTGGGACACAGACTGCCACGCCCTGCTTTTCACATGGGCGTTGGTCCAGCCTTGCTGGTCATTGTCTTGCTTCATAAGCTTCATACCTAGGTGGCACTACCAGATGCTACACTTTGGGGTGTCTTGAACATTACCTTGGGTGACTATGAAAGTTAGTCCTCAGGGAGGAGGTTTTCAGGTCAAATTCAGTTTAGATCCTCTGAGTCCTCTGTCTAAAGTGCATCCCATGCAAAATTTAGTCTTTTGGAAGGCATTGTTCCTTTTTTTAGTATTGAGAGTTTCACACATGTGTTTTGATCATATTCTCCTACAACTCCTCCTAACTGCTACCAGAGCCTATGAGGAACAACACCCTTAAAGATAACTGACTCTCTCCTCAAGGGACCATTAGCTATCCAGTGTCTCAGTTGGGAGGGCCTGGACTCAGGAGTCCCTGGTCACTCCAAGGTAGAATCTTGATTGGCTTTATCTTCTATAGGTACTGTGCAGGAAACTACTTTGCTGTGAGCTTGTGAGTTTGCAGACACTACCTATCGTATTTATAAGTTTCCTGTGATCTCCTCTGAACTCTGAATTTACCACAAACCTTTCTGCTTTGTCTTGTTTGACTAGTTGAGAGTTTCTGCTTTAACCACTCTTCACTTAAAAAATAAGCTTCTCTGCAGAGGTATGACACTTGCAGTAATCTATGGGTAGAATGATACAAATTTAGAGGGTAGTATGATTCTATGTCCGTTTTGCAGAATAATAGCATGTGAGTGCACCATCCATAGGCTCTTGACCACAATTAAAATGCCAGTTACATGTTTCTTCTTGTGACTCAAATCAGCCAGAAGCAGTTAGTAGCCTCTATAATATTCATGCCATTATTCACCCATGGGCACTATTTATTCATTAGCGGAAGGACAACTACGCTGTGTTTATGTCCAGCTATTAGGACAAGGGCATCTATGAACATATGGGCATATATCTCTGTAGTCAGAGTACTTTGATACTCTGTCAGAAGTGGAAGAGTTTGGTCATATGCTGATCTATTTCTAGTTTTATGAGGAACAGGCACATCAGTTTCTACCAACAGTGCATGAAGTTTCCCCACTCCCACATCCACTGTCTTTTATTTTAATATTAGTCATTCTTATTGGATTAAGATAAAAAATCTGAAAGCAGTTTTAATTTGCATTACGCTGATGGTTACGGATGGCGAATAGTTTTGAAAATATTTGTTGGACATTTACATTTCTTATTCTGAGACCTCTCTATTCGGTTCCATGACTCATTTTTCAATTTGGTTGTTTGTTTTCCTAGTGTATGGGTTTTTTTAATGACTTACATATTCTAAATACAAATCCTCTGCCAATGCTGTAGTTAGCAAAGATTTTTCTCACTCCATAGGCTGCCTCTTCAGCCAGTTAAGTTTCCTTTGCAATACAGAAACTTCAACCCTATTTAGTCCTACTTGTGGATACTTTTATCTTATTTCCTAAGCAACCAGAGTCCTATTTAGAATGTCCTTTCCTGAACCTATACCCTGCACTGTACTCAGTGTACCTTCTGCTCTTTATTCTGCAAATTTTAGAGTTACAGGTCTAACAATGAGATCCTTGCTCCATTCAGGATTTATTTGTGTGCAAAGAGAAGAATCAAGTTTCATTCTTCAACATGTAGATATCAAATTTTCCCAACACCATTTATTAAAGATGCCATTTTTTCCAGGGAATGTTTTTGGAATTTTTGTGGAAAATCAGGTGGCTTACACGCATGGATCAATTCTGTTCCATTAATCGAAGTATCTGGTTTTGTGCTGGTACCATTCTGGTTTTGCCACTTTCCCTTCATAGTACATCCTGGAATTGGGTCTGATGACCTTCCAGTGGATGTTGTTGTTGTCCAGAATGTTCTAAATGACTTACAATACACCAAACAGTGATAAGCACTGATGATATGATCTAAACATCTGAAGAATCAGAATGGTTCCTCAGCACCAGCTCTGGGTCAGGAAGAGTGGGATTAGGATACCACCTTGCTGACCTTCTAGATGAAAGAGGTTAAGGGAGGACTCTTCAGGGAAAGAGAGCAATTGAAAAAAATCTGAAAATGAATTAACCTGAATCCTTTTGGGAACACAGGAAGGAAAGGTGGAGATCAGATCTGTGATGATCAGAACCTAATTACAGGTGTGTACGTCAGGTGACATGTCAGATTTCAGAAATGCAGAACTGAACAACATAGTTCTTACTCTTGAGGAGTTTCTTATACTGGGATCAGAGAAGTAGACTTTTGAGATGTATTAAGAAATAAGAAACCAGTATACTGGCTCACACCTTTACTCCCAGCAGTGGGATTAAAGGAAGGTCGAGTCAGAGTCATATGGGTCTCTATAAATTCCAGGCCATTCTGGTCTGCATAGTGAGTACCTGCCAGGACTTGGTACTGATATCCTATCTCAAACAATTAAACAAAAAACCTTAAAAATAAAAAAGAAATACATGGATGGTCTGTGTTCTCCATCCCCTGAAAAACAGTTCCTAGAAAAATTGTCACCATAATAAAAATATCTTCGATATGCCAGGAAGATGATCGATGTCTAGAAGCTTTTAGAGAGTTTTATAGTGGGGACTGTCACCAAAAAGACTAAATTGTGATTAGAGAATTAGGACTGACAGCCATCACCACCAGTGAATAATTGTAAAGGAAGAAGGCTAGAGATTGAGTTAATAACCAATGATCAGTGATAAGCCATCATAGTTATGTAACAAAATCTTATTAGCAATCCTAAACACTGCAGTTTGAAAGGGTTCTGTATGTGAAACTGGAAGAAAAGAAGTCCTTGAGATAGCATGAATCTCTATGCTCCTTCCTCCATAGAGAGCCATATGAGTCTCTTCAATTTGTCTGTCCCCCTGTTGCAGTATTTACAATAAACCACTAATAGTAAGCAAAGTGCATCCTCAGTTCTGTGAACCATTCTGCCAAATCACTGAGCCTGATACATAAAGGAAACATCCTGAATTTATAGCTAATTGATAAGAACTGCAGGTGATAGATAACTGAAAACTTGCTAGTAATGTCTGGAGTGGGTCACTGTCCTAGTTAGCTTTAACTGTCTAGTTCACACAGCCTAGATCCACTCTAGATGGCACCATTCCCTGAGCATGTGAGATAGCTTAGCATGGGTCTCAGGAGCTCGCAAGCAATTCCATGGTTTCTGCTTGACTTGTCTTGACTTTCCTCTTTCCTCCCCTAAGTGGATTTTGGTCACAGCATTTGTCACTAATGGAATGAAATTAGAACACTTCTTTTTCATGAAATAATAAGTTAAATATTAATAATTCCTCCTTTTAAAGGGGGGAGGTACAAGCCAGGCATTGGTGGCACATGCCTTTAATCCCAGCACTCAGGAGGCAGAGGCAGGGGGATCTCTGTGAGTTTGAGGTCAACCTGGTCTACAGAGAAAGTTTCAGGACAACCTCCAAAGCAATACAGAGAAACCTTGTCTCTAAAAACTAAAAACATTGCGGGGGGTGGTACTGACCTTGATTCAGTTCTATGGTCAGAGTCTGGTTGCCAGTTGGATGGGAGACAAAGCAGACCACCGCAGACACAGTGTTGTGTTCCCAATGGTATGTGCTCCTGACAGTCACAGAGCCATTGCTGTGGGATTCATTCTTAGTGACATGATACCCAGCTGGAGCCCAAAAGATCTGAGCAGCAGGTTTGCCTGCAATGGCCTCACAAACTGCAGTTCTGTTGTCCCCTGGAAACAGGGTTACTTCAGGGGGGACTGTGGAGATACAAGGGAAAAATGATTCAGTCTTGTCACAAATTCCAAAAGCATTCGAATCTGTTTAAAATCTGGTGAAATACCACAAATTTGACAACTTGCTTACCTAGAACTTTGAGGTCGTGTCTCATTTGAAAATGCCCTTCAGATGACGCTACCTCACATGAATAATATCCATCATGACCGAGGGCCACTGTATTGATCTGAAGGTAAGGACTCTGGTCAGGTGTGGAGGCCCAGGTGATTCTCCTATCTGTACAGTTGATTTCAATTGTCTCATTTGTTTCTATTCTGTAGATTATTGTGCAGGGAGGTTGGCCTCTGAGGGCTATTTTCCACGTTATTAATATTACTTTTGTCCATGAAATAGGAGTGCAGCACAGCAGAGCTTTGGTACCCATCTGTGCAGACACTGAAGCACTAACTGGACACACACAGAGAATGAGGAAAGGAAACCTGTGTTTTAAGTCTGTCCACATAAGCAGCATATATGAAGTTATGCTAGAGCATTGCTTGGTTAATGCATGTTTTGCAAAAAAAATCAGATTTTTCTCTTATTTCTTTTTTCTATGTGTTCACTCTATTAGAATTAAATACATTTTCACCTTCTGAAGTAAGAATTCAAGACCTATGGGCTACACACCTTGCACCATAAAATCTCACACTGCCTATACACTGACTTAACGATTCCATGGCAGATGCAAGTTTACTGAGTGGTGATTACTCAACAAAATTATCTGTTACAGTCACCTGCGACAAAAAGTCAATAACGCCATCACCCTAACAGGAGCAGAATTTGCTTGCTTCTGATAAACATTGTATTAACTATCTCAACTATACTATTTCAATGGTACTTACTCTTGGGGTCCTCAGGTCCTCACATGTCACATCCACACAACGGTCATCTAATTAGATGATGAAGGGTTCTTTAACATAGACCTGGGATGGTGCTAATCCCATAGCCTTTCTTACACTAAGGCAGCAAAGCTTTAGAAGCAACAGTTCGCGGTCTCTTAAATGAAAACCATCACATCACCAGATTCTTCCTCTATTCTAAATCTGTAGCAGCCAAGGCATTAGTTTACTATTTCTAAGCAAGGTGAACTCTTCATTCCCTAGTGCAGGCCACATGATAAAGAAATATATTACCTTCTGACTTAAGCAATGAGCTATTCTTTGTCATTTGATTCCAATCTATACCTGAACATCTTGACTCTAGAAAATATTTAAATAAGAATTTTAAATATTTTAGTGATTATAAAATAGTAATTAAAGTCATATCATATGTCAACATCTTTAAAATATATTTATGATATATTAAATTATTTATCATTTATGAGTAACCTTATTTTGCCAAATTGTTTGTAGAGTAGCCCTGTTTTCCTTTCCAACCCCTTGCTAGGTAGGCAGAACACATGAGCTGACTTGATTAAACTTCTTTCTCTGGATGTCATCTGTTGGGGGATATTCAGTCAAACTGTGAAGACCAAGTGTGCATTTGCATTAATTAATTAAAATTAATCTAGGTTCAGGAGACTGAGTTAGCACCTAGTTGTCAGAAAGTAATCATGGAGCATCATAGGGCATCCTGGAGACATAGAGAGACACAGGAAATAGTAGGGACAGGTTTGGAATGTGCTGCTTTTTTGTTTGTTTGTTTGTTTGTTTTGGCAGAGGGGAAGCACTCATGCATTTTGGAAACTATAGCAAAGAGAAGAGGTTGTGAACCAGCTTCTCTAAGCTAGCAGGTTTTCAATCCAACTTTCAAACCTTGAGTCTTATTTATAAATATAATGATAAAATTTAGTTATAGCTACATTTAGTGGCAGTAAGAGAGCCAGTGGCTGCAGGAACAGAATTCCTGCCTGGCTGCCACCTTAGGCTACTGCTCGAGGATCAAGTCAGTAATTGCTGAGTTACAATTGTTGGGTGAGATAACAGTATAATATGACATGGACACTGTGCCAAAGTTAAAACGGCATTTGGTGCTCCAACAAGTAGCATGACCACATGGACAGAGAAGTCATACCAGTCTGGCTCTGCTGCGCTTGCTGTCTGGGCCTTTCTGTGTGAGCACTCACAACAGCCAGCTGCCATTTGAAAAGGCTCTGGAAAGCAGGCTTGTGCTTGGAAATTGTGCGAAGGCCTTGAGTTCATCCCCAACACCATGCATAAACAGTGAGAAGTCAGCAGATTTGGTGAGATAACTGGGAAGTCCTTTAAGGAAGAGTTAAATAATATAGAAAAGAGAAATATTTCCCACATTAAAAATGGGGACTATACAATGCAGGGTGCTAGTACCCTGAATAGTGCTACTATAGATGGTTTGAAAATTGAAAATTTAAATGAAGGGATAAGTGACTCAGCTGGAATTGACCTAATGTTGATTGTAATTGCTATCAGCTTGGAAATTAACATCCTATCTTTAAAAAAGTTGTTTGATAACTTGCCAAATATGATAATTTGATTGATAAGATACAAGCCTTAGAAAGACTTACTATTGATAGGATATAAGCTTTAGAAATACTTATTACTGATTAAGACTCAAGCATTAGAAAGACTTACTAATGAACGTAAGAAAAATTTAGCTGACTAGATACAAGTCTTAAAAGGACTTACTATTCATAAGACACAATATTAGAAAGACCTACTAATGAAAATAATAAAAATACTCAGACACAAAGGAATTTAGAGCAGAATCTACAGCTCTGTTGCATTATGAAACTGAAAAGGGAGTGACCTAAATCTATTTGAAGACCAACCTTAATTCAGTTACCATACAAGAATGAGTACCAGATGATAGGTACCCTCAAGGTTTTGCAGAACTTGATAGGGATCTTGTAGAAATGTTGTATTTGAAGAAATTTAAGGAAGCAATCATTTCATATGATGTATAACCTTTGTAAACTATCAAAACTGGCATAGATTAAATTCAAATAGGAGACACTTCTTGATTAGGAGAGGCAATAGTTTATCAAATAGCTTTCATTCATTTCAAACTAACTTCTAAGATTAACAAAATCCTTTATTTGATCAAGTAAGAAACTAATAATCATCGTGATAATAACAAACAAAATAATTTTATTATTAAAAGATAACACTTTTTCTGTTGCCAGAAAATGGCTTAACAAAGATATAATCTGACAAAAAAGGAACTCCTCAAAATTAAGACTGGGGAAGGGTTTTTTTTTGTCTTTCCAAGACAATAAAAGCATCCAACTGAGAAATCTGAAGACCCCTGGATTCTTGAGACATCTGAAGAAGCAGGATGAACCATCCAGACAAAAATGTCCCAAGAAGAAAGAATAAAATTTGCCTATTGGCATAGCACATTTCTAACAGGATAAAAGTTCATAAATCTCCCTAAATATTTGCGTCTGCTGCTCTCTATAAACATAAAAGACAAATGGTCTGTTTATGATCCCAATTCAATTAAAAATCAAAGCTGGTTTTGGAGTTGGAGCATGGTTCTCTCCTTTTCTAAACCCAAGCATGATTGGTAAAGGAGATTCCAAAATCTCTGTCTTATGTCAGAAGATCCACCTGATATGAGACAGAGAAAATCAAAATTAAGGGACTATTCTATTGTTACTAAGGCATAAAAATTGCCTCTGAAGTTATAAGATTACTATACATATAGTAATTTTATATAATATATAGCATTATTAAATACATATGATATATTTACCATTTATTACATTGACATATATTTCATAATATATCATACATTAACACTATATATTTAAAGTGATAAGTAATAACATCTATATTTAAACTTTCTGTTGTGATATTAATGGTCCTATATAGTACCACTTAATTCTAGGCATAGGCTTCATCTTGCATTGGGTACATGATTTCAGGCTGAGTTTGAATCAGGTAACTAAAAATTAAGTTTGTGTACCCCAGATACACTGAATAGACTGTTCTCCTTTAACTTCTCTGAGATCTGCTCCACAGGATATTCAAAGATTTAACCAAAAAAAGAGAACTGAAGACCAACTTTCCTCATAAACATAAATACAAAAATACTCAATAAAATACTCATGAACTGAATCCAAGAAGATACCAATTGATCATCTACCATGATCAAGTAGGCTTTTCCCAGAAGTGCAGGGATGTTCAACATATGAAAATCAGTTAATGTAATCAACCATATAGACAAACAGAGAAAAAAAAACGGCGTGATCATTTCATTAGATGCTGAAAAAACCTTGGACAAAATCTAACACCCCTTCATTCTAAAAGTCTTGGAGAGATAAGGGTTACAAGGGACATAAATAAGCACAATAAAGGCAATTTACAGCAAGCCTATAGCCAAAATCAAATTAAATGGAGATAAATTCAAAGTAATTCCAATAAAATAAGGAACAAAGCAAGATTCTCCACACTCTGCATGCCTATTCAATATAGTACTTGAATTCTTAGCTAGGGTAATAAGACAACTGAAGGAGAACAAGGGGAAACAAATAAGAAGGGAAGTAGTCAAAGTATCTTTATTTTCAGATGATGTGATTATATATATAAGTGAATCTAAAAATTCTACCAGGAAACTCCTATACCTGATAAAAACTATCTGCAAAGTGTCTGGATACAAGATTAACTGAAAAAAATCAGTACCCCTCCTGTATAGAAATGATATATTGACTGAGAAAGAAATCATGGGGGAATATACCGTACACAATAGCCTCAAATGATACAAAATACCTTGGGGGTAACAATAACCAAGCAAGTGAAAGCCTTGTATAAACAAAATTTCAAGTTTTTGAAGAAAGAAATAAAAGAGGATATTGTGTTGTGGGATTCCCACCCGGATCTCGTTGCTGATTTAGCAGCCAAATAACCCAGGAGCCACTATATTAATTATGAATCTGTTGGACATTTGCTAGGGTTTCTTAATGGCTAGCTCTGACTTAATTATTAACCCACAATACATAATATATATTTTTATAAGGACTTATCTTACCAAGGACACAGCCTCATGCATCCTCTCTTCTTGAGACTCACATGGCGACTTCTCCTCTTGGTTACATTTCCCAGAATCCTCCTCGACTCCTAGTCCCACCTATCTGGCTTCCCTATTGGCCAACATTGCTTTATTTATATGTATAAGACAAACTTATACACAGAAGGACTTCCCCCATCAATATCAAAAGATGGAAGATACCCCATGCTCGTGGACTGGTAGGATTAACCATGCTAAAAATGCTCATCCTATCAAAAGCAATCTACCGATTCATTGCAGTCCCCATCAAAGTCCCAACATAATTCTTTACAGACCTTGAAAGAACAGTACTCAATTTCATATGGAAAAACAAGGAAAGTAGGATAGCTAAAACAATCCTGTATGATAAAAGATCTTCCCAAACTATCACCATGTCTGATTTCAAGCTATATTAATAAAAACAGGCAGGTTTATCAATAGAATCCAACTGAAGACCCAGATATTCAAGCAGAGGGTTTTTTTTTGTTTTGTTTTTTTACTTAGGTAACAGGATCATGAAAAGGAGAAAGGGGGTAGGAGCCAACCCTTGGGACTAGGCCGCCTGCCTGTGCTTGGGGGCTGCCACTGAGGCTTCCATTCCGGAGCACCCTAGTTTCCTGCTCCACCCACGGGACTAACTAAGCCAGGGCCCATTTCCAGGTCACCTGCCTATGCCTGGGGTCTGCCACTGGGGCTTCTATCCCAGCAGGAGAAGCAAAAGCACACCAGCATCTTAGTCTCCTGCTCCACCACGTGATTAAGTCTATCAGGGCCTGTCTCCAGGCTACACTCCTGTGCCTAGAGTCTACCACTCAGTCTTCCATCCATCCCAGCGGGATTGAAAGCACCCTAGCATCTTAGTCTATTCCTCCACCCATGAGACCAGGAAGCAGAGAGCTACCAGAGCATTGGACTTGCCTACACCCACCAGAAGGGAACACTTGTCCTGCACCCACCAGGAGAGGAAGAGACACCTTGTGGAACCCACTGAAAAAATGGATGGGAAGGAGACAATATAAAAACACAAGGAGCAACAAAAAAACCAATATGACACCACCAAAGCCCAGAGACCCTACACCAGTAAGACTGGAATATCCTACAATGAATGAAGTAGAAGAAAAAGACATTGAAAACAACTTCATGAAATTATAGAGGCCCTCAAAGAGGATATGAGAAAATCCCTTAAAGAGATGGAAGAAAAAACAATATAAAAAATGCAAGAAATGGAAGAAAAGACAAAGCAAAAATTGCAAGAAACAATTC